ATAGAATCGATGTAATCCACATAAGCCGTAAGACTGAATCGGGAAAATCTCCAATTGCAGTATGCGGGTTGTGGTTTTGCTAAACGAAACCTTAGTAAATCTCACACGTACCTATTGAGTCAAAGAATTTTAATGTTAGTTTTACACTCACTGGAGCTCAGCGCTGCATCACTGGCCAATAAAATGGGGAAGGCAATAAACTGATAATATTTTTCCTAGTTTATAATGTCACAAACCCCGTTCTATTTTTCCTGCGTAGCCATATTTGATAGACATTCTTATGGCCATGTACTCTTTCATTGATTTAGTTGGCATGTTATTTCGTATATGTCAGTAATCAGCTGCTATAAATGACGTCGGTCTATGACCTTTACAACTGTGAAGTTCTAACTCCACGGGCTGCAATTCAAAAACGCCAAATCGTTGATATTATGTAAATTGATGACTATAATATAGATCTTGAGTATTATCAGAAATGCTGAAAATTTTGGCAATGGGGCCTAATTTCTGAATAAACGATAAAATACTATAGTCAGTAAAGCTTTGTCCTGCCAAAGCATTGCAATTTTGATGATGGGATAGGTTAACTTTTTCACTGGATTACATTAATATGATAGCATTGCATTTAGTGAATCGTGGTTTTTTGATGTCCATTAACGTGGTCGATGCAGCCGTACACACGTCTCCCTTTTCACGGTGTACTTTTCAGTCACATGGGGCAGCCTTCTTACTTATTACGCTAAATGTACTACCTTTCTCTGCTTTATACACTAAACTTTTCAGAAATTTACATGTTACCAGGTAGCTCTACTGTACCGGTGAACTAGAACACACAAGTCATACACAGACTCTTAATTACGCTCCTGGCATATCACAACTTTGTTAAGCTATCGGGTAAACGGTCGTGCCTAGTACTCTCTTCTATGTTCAGTTTGTGAGTCACTGGCTTGCAAGAGGTACAGTAGAAATTCTGACACTGTTGACAAACAATAACAAACTCTGTCGACAAGAACTCAGTCTAATTTATCAATGTAATCCTAACTTGCTAAGAACAGGGCTTAGGCATTTTACAGCAACATGGTAATTCCAAACAACATATTTAGGCAGTTTAGCACTGTTCTCTAATCAGAGCTCTTTTTGGACAATCACAGATAAGCGAATGACGTACTTCCAAGTCAAATTGAAAAAGAACATTGAACCTAGGGTAGTGGGAAAATGTTTGTTTACCTGCTCGATATAAATAACACGAATTTACAAGTTTGAGTATAATAACTTTTTACTGCATTAGTTCTCTTACTTAAAAGAGCAAATTAGTATTAATAATATCATAACCGATCGTTTTTAGATAAACAAATTGACACTGAGCTTCCACGATTTGCAGAAAATTCGGAGGGACACGTTGATTCAAGCGGTAACCATCATGAATATTGTGTTTTTTTGTAGTGTTCATTACAATTTTATCTTAAAACCAGTGACACATCACAGAGTTATAGTCTATCTAAAAAAGCGTTGGGGACAATATATACAAATGCCCTTCTTGTCAGTCGGCTGGAATCCGTCCCTGATACAACTGTAGTACAATGACGCCTTCCAGGTAGAAATGCCTGACTAAATGTATAGCAAAATATCAGCTAAGGTTATCTTACAAAAACATAGACAAAAAGTGCTTTAAGACCCGACTTTTACAGACTTTTCTTGTTTTACTATATTTGGGTTAGAGGCGCGTTCTTTCTCCCACATTACTGTGTTTTTGTGGGTCAAGGTTCTGTTGATCTGTTCGGTAAGTTCGAGTCTTCATATTCGTAGTTTTTAGCGCATTTGTATCAATTTGATCAGTTTCAAGCTTTTATATTAAGTGAATTTTAATGTCACAATAGACCACCAAAACCTAATGCTTGCTTCTGTACAATTCCATCTCTGGTTGTTTTTTTTATTTCTTGTGAATGCCTTTGAAACAGGGCTGTAATCGAGTACTTTGCTGTTTTATGATTAAAGCCGACGTTACTTTTATGATTCGTTAGATGGAAGCTAGGCCCATTAGTTTTTCACGTGCGTTTTCGTTGTTCTGTATTCTCCCGTATGGGGTGTGCTAACCAATTTGTTTCACATAATTTGAACAGCTCTGTTCAAATCACGCAGTTCTGGGACTTTTATTATTGTTTTGGGTCTTTCTGACTCGACTCAGATTTATTGTATCTTGCTGGTCGGTACCGTTATTGTTCGTATTATGTTCATCAAGCTAACATTATCTTGCTATCGATGTTCTACCTTTACCTTATTCTAGACCATTTATTACATTTTGGTTAGTCTAAAATTAATTTTCACGTAAAATTGACAGATGTGGTTGTTGCAGGTGACTGGATTTTTTTCAATTAGCTTGGAGATAAACTCAAATTGTCCTCGTATATTTTGTCCCACACGCTTTAGATCTGTTGTTTTTTAGGCATGGGAAATTGTTGTTCTTGTCCCTGCAATCCGCGATCCTTCGATGGCGAACCAGTCGTCTGCACTTCGAATTTTTCACAGGTTTGCTCTGAAGAACTTGTGGGCCCGCATCAAAATTCGAATCTCCAGTGCAATAATAATTCAGACAGTGCTGAATATAGTGTACCCTTTTACATCACAACTGAACATCCTTCAGGGGTGGTTTCGATATTTCAACCCAAAACACAGTTGCCAAAGCTATTCCCTGTTCAGCCGAACCGCCATTCCAGGTACCGACACTTCATTAATGGACAGTCTGAGGAAATTCAACACATCTCCGAAAGGGAACCAGAAAGTGAGTGAGGCTACTTGAAGTCAAAATGCTACATAAGTATAACTTTATTTAGGGTCCCTTGCATGAGAGCAATGATACTTTGCAGTGTTTTCAGTTTGCTAGTAGATCGCTTTTATTCGAATGTCTCATGTGTCTATTTTGACGTATTTTTAATGCCAGTATTGATTTCTAGTGTAGGCCTGCTCAAAACGGTTCATTCTTGTTCACTACGCATCATTACATTTTCGATTGAGAAATGTCAGCCATTCTTCCTATGTTTTCGCTTCACCTCGTAATTTTTTTGCTATGCACGCAACAAAATTCATTTATTTCTTTCGCGTGTTGATACAATACTTCATGCTTGCCCTTATAGTAGACGAGGACACAGATCCGTCGATTAACGTGAAGACTGAGGCAATTTTCATCAAAGAAAAAAACTGTAAGTTGACAGAGTTCAATTTTATTTCTTTCTATTTGCACCAAATTTAAAATGTGCTTGTGCGTTTGTGTATCACCCTTCTATTTTAATACGCCACATCATCAATCAAGGAATTTTCACTTAAGGGCCCTTCGGTCTTCTACTGGTGTTAACTATAGGCTGATTTCAGACTTTGTACATCGAACTGTACGGTGTCTGGGATAGTCAAATCTCAGCAGTCGTGCACATTTTGTCATGATCCTCAACTGGAAAGCCACTCGTTTTTTGCCCTTTTAGGTGGCCAATTTTGGTACATCGACGTAAGTGGAAAATCGCTTGCATTCTTTTATGTAGCGAGGTCTTGCAATTTTTTTTCCAGCGAATGGTTGCTCGCAGTAGGCTGTAGGACTGTCTCTTGCGTACAATACTGTGCCATCGCATGTGTATGGCAATTTTCATACGATGAACAGTCATTTTAGGTTTTCAAAGCAAGTACAGTCTTATTAATTTATCCTCTAATTTGCATGGTACCGGACAAAAATATCCGCTCACAACCGACCTCTGCGTTATGTGGAATACGTTATGTCCAACTTTGCTTTTTGTGGCATTTTAGATTAAATGTAGTAATTTGGACGCTTTTGAAAGATACTGTAGTAAGTGGCTTGCAAAAGCATAATGTAAGGGAAAGCAATTCGCCTTTTTTAATTTCAGCTTGTTAGACGCATGAAACGCGATGATTGTCGACCACCAAACACCACGACAGAAGTCTATCTAGATGGCTCTACAGCATCCAAGCCGGATTCTCGGGCAACCATTAGAGCCGTCGCTATTGCGATCTGCCTGCTAATCCGTTCCCCTGGAAGTAGTACGGGTCATTGTGAGGAGGACCTTGATATTTTCGATGAAACCCTGCATCCCATGAAAGTGAGTCATCCATCGACAAAATAAGTCAACGTGTTCATTGCCGCAGTGTGCCTTATGTACACATGTCGCTCTCGCGCGTGCGTTTACGTAGTAAAAAGTTATATTCGCTCATGACCTTTGGTGCACTTTACAGCTATCAGCCATCAGAGTTCATCTGCATTCACTTAATTCTCTGCCTTCTCTACTGTGCGTTTTTACGTCTAAATTCATACATTGGTGACCATGTGGTGGATGTCAACACTGTCGAGTCGAAGTACAACACCAAAGCTCCCTACAACATCCTATTTTAACCATTTATATTGATATTTATAAAATTGCGTTGGTGTTTCAAACATCTGAGAGGCTATTACTCTAGATTATTCATCAAAAACATCTGCCTATTTGGTGCACTCCTACGGTGCTAGCTGATGAACGAACTTCATTTTGGCACAGTGGGGCCAACATTGTGTGCCACCCAAACCGCCGGCTGTTTGCTGGTCTCCGTGTTTTGCCTCGTCACAATGCGTGGACCGTAGAACAACTGTTTCCACACCAGAAACGTCGACTTCCCCCATGCCAGTCTTCCCAACTAGGCACATGCTTCGATCCTTTTAGCCAGTCAATTAAATTCTGACCAGTGATTGTAGATGGTATGTCGGCGCAGATGTATGCTGCCGACATATTTGCTTACTATCATAGGACAATTAATAGAGCTGCAGGGGATAATTATATTACATTATTGTCACCTACACATTCACAAAACTTGGGTAAATCATGGTGTTGGTTTAAATATCTACTTGCGCCTGTCCAAGGCAAGCAAAAAACATCCGCAACTGTGGTTGTATTATCAGTCACAATCTCAGGTCTATTGTTTTTTCTTGGAAGTGCCAAGAAATAATGTGCATTAGAAATACTTTACGGTATCGATTCCATGGTTTTAGGCCTATGATTCTAAAAAAAAGTGTTGTTAGTTTTTTCAAGCCACCTCAGTTCTGCCTTTTACTTAAAAATTAATTGCACCATGGTCCGGAATTGGAGAAGAGCGTTCAAAAAATCCAAACATTTTTCTCCTCATAGTCACTTTTTGTGGTGATATACTTTGTGACTAAAACCACACCTTTTTTTCACTATTTGGTAAATGCAGCGTTTTCATGGTCAACTTTAGCTTAAATCCCGGTATCTTTATGAGTTTTTTTACACCTACCAATTAAACTGCAGTAAAACTTCATGTTTGATGGTTATGATCCTTTCCTAGCGTAATTTTTTACCTTTTTTGGAATACATTCCAAGACGAAATCTTCTCTTATGCCTTCCTTCACGTAGCAAAGGGCTTGGGAACGAGCAAAGCACAGACTGTCTTGTTTCGGTAACTTTGCTTCAGCATTTTGCTCTTGAAAATGGCATGCGATTCAAGCACTCCACATTGCCCATAATCAGGTAGAAAATTTCAGGAATTTGATTGGCAAATATGTTGCCAGTAGGAAGTTTTCTACAAATTTGATTCATTTATGCGTTGAGTCAGAGGTAGTTGCGCAGTCAATGCAGCCATACTCTTAAGCACACGAACAAGTGTCTGGGTGGTCGTTTTTTTGATAGGCTACAGTTGATGTGAACGCTCAGCGGTGTCAATTTGGCTCACTCCCTCGGAATAAATTTCCAATTATTGTGTTTTTGTTTGTAACTTTGAAACTGTCGGTCGTTTGTAGTCCGTGAAAGCCAAGACGAGTCTCACAGGATCTCAGCATCTCGTGTTACGAATTGTTGTAAAAATATTGTGTACAACGCCCAGTTGAGATGAAATCGCGCACACGTGCTCCACTCCTTGAATCAAGATGATAATTGTCGTGGAAAATTCTGCCGAAGTGTTGTGAGGCTGTCACGTTGACGGGTAGAATTGTTTGGTTGTGCTGATCAGCACACTCTACGCTAAAAACCCTAGACTATTCACTAACTGACCGCAACGCCAGTGGATTCGTGTGTGCTAGCTTGTGTTCTGCATGGAACTTCTAAATGCATCGAAGAACGTGATGGATAATCCGTGCACTTTCCCTACTCGTGCTCTAGATGACTGTAGTTTCATGTGCACTTGACTTAAGCCTACATGACCGGAATGTCCACAAACTGGATCATTTAAAGTTTGAACCTAGTTTTACTGTATTTTTTAATGTGCGGACTTATGAAATGCCGGGAGAATCACTCTCCAATGTCACCCCTTAAGATGCATAGTTCTACTGCTTTTCCATCGCTGATCCAGGAGGTAAAACAAGTCAGGATTTTATGCCGTATTCCCGTTTTTTGTTTTCCACACAGAAACCAAAATTGAAATCTGCCCGAATCCGCTTACACAGTTTTTCTAACGCGAACCGACTGGTTATGAAAGAGCATCATTTACAAATTCATCGTTTTATTGGGGACTCGCATTATTACTTGGGCAAACTATTGCTGACTGCTATTTGTGATTCTGCCTTAGTCCCCAACTATGCACGTCGTATTACAAGCGTTGCTGGAATAAGTAGTAACATGATGCAAAAAGCTCATGTCATTGGAATGCCTGCAAACCGACCTACGCTCTTGCTTTGTTCTATTCCCCGCTATATTCCTCCCAGGTGCCTTCTATATTACATGGGCACCAACTGTGTAGTAACGTTTTATCTAACGACTTTGCGACCGCGACTAGAACTGACCGTTTTTAAGCCAATTGCAATCTGCGGTGGCATCTAACGCGTAAATTAATCACGATACTTGGTACGTACTCTTATCGATTACACATTGTCATTCAAGTTCCCTTTCCACCGAATTTTTTCTTGATATACCGTTGGTTTTGGCCTCGTCTGTGGAACTGAACCAAAACCCTACGTTGGCTGCAATGTTTGCGCTACAATTGTCTGTCTCGTCAACAATTTTCGTCTTCTTCGCAGTGTTTAATAGCACAAGTTTAACGACAATTTAGCCGCAACTATTGTCATCTGAGTTTTTATAACCTAGAATGTATAAGGCGAGTTTTTTTTACAATTAGCCACGTTACACGCACTTGCAGCTTGTTATCGCAAACTAAAGCAAAATCTAGAGTCTACTGTCAGTGTCCCTTCATTAGAATACCAGCTCTTGAGCACACGCTCAAACGATAATCTGCCCCCTAGTGTGACTGGCTAACCCAACCCCAAATATGGCCTCATGGCTGTTTAATGCAAACCACTGCGCCGAGTCAGACTTTTTCATTGTTGCTCGGTTAGTTTGTCAAAACGCGAACACTTGAAGGGCGTTTCCTTGTTGCGTAATTCTTCAATCACGTCACTTTGCTGACGCATTGCCTAGCCCCAATTCTTGTGCTAATTAGCAATGAGCAAGGTTGAGTGACGCACTCTTCATTGGAATTTTCGCGACTGTAATGTAGGTCAAGCAGTCGTTATTCGGTGTCGTAGTGCTTTCCACATTCCTACGAACCACTTTCGGACTCACGCAATGTGCACAGCGAATTTTACCTACACCATCTCAACCAACTTCCACGAGTCGCCATAGCCGCCTAAGTTATGCGTTCATGTGACATACAGAGCGCTGTGACTGCTTTGTGCGCGTGGTGATTTGGCCTTTGTAGTTGTGAAAAATCCTAATCAAGTCTCGATGTGCTTGACGAATCCTTAAGTACCTGGGGCGTCGTGAATGTCGATCCATCGTTTGTGATGAGTGAGGCCATTTCTACGGCTGACACATCGGCTACACACTGGTGCGCAATTATTCCACCCGCACACAACCTGTCGTATGTCAATATAGTGTTACACAAATTAAAAATTTACCAAAACTGTCTGTGGTTTGCGTAGTTGTTGAACAGACATCCAGCTCAGTCAGACAAGATGCGGAATACTTGCATGTGAAAAACAATCCGAAATTTTAATTATTGCTTTTAGATTGAACAATCACCTGACGAAAACCCTTACCTTCCCCCCAGTTTGAAAACCGTTCACCGTTTCATCAGAAAAATCTTCCAGAATGCCCAACTATCTCCGGAGTGTGCTATTGTCACCATGGTAAGTTCTAACGTGGTGATTTGTGCTCTTGTCTAGACCGTTTGTGGTGTGCAGTTTCGCTAGTTGGGAAATGTGCCTGTTGATTGGCTGCTAGCAAAACGTGTCCTTTCAAGCACACGAAATCGCCATCAGTGCGTACTGTCACTTGGTTCGTCGACTCAGCTTGCGTCTCGTTTCACGTAGAGCTGTACGAACACGTCGTTACTAAGCTCTCGTTCATGTGCGTATGCTTCACCGTACATTCTGTTAGAATACAGCAAAACTAAGTTCGAGAAAAACGGTCTGTTCGAATGGGAATGGAATTCGCCTCCATTTCGAATGCAATTCACAAGCTCGCCTATGCCAAGTTCTTGTTACTGTTGCGTCCACAGCGTCTGCATTGGTGGGGGTGTTGTGAAGTTTTAAACCACTTGCAAACACGGGAGCGTTTATCCACTACGCATGCTATTACTGGAAATTTCAGTCACACTGCAGTATGGTGGTGTTTTAACATGTTAAACCTCACTGTTCGTGTCGGCCTTTTAGTAGGATGTTACAAATCTGCTGATTGTGTTTAGTAACCCTAATAAGGGTAACTCTAAGTGTTAATTTACGACTGTTTTATGGTGGTGCCCCTTTTTTGATAGTTTCAGAGGGGCGTAGCTTGTCAACATGTTTGCGTAGTGCGTGGTCTTTTCCCCATTTTAGTAAATTCGACGGAAATGGGATGAGTCAGTTGGTTCCAGCCACCTCACTCGTCAAAAGTGCATTTGACGAGTGCTAGGTTGCCTTGCTAGGCAAAAACACTAATTTAATTGTCTTTTAGTGTTGTATGGTTCTAGTTGTTTCACCCACATTCGGAAACCTCAACGGGCCACTAACAGACGATCGGCAGTCATCGTTTCCCCTTACAGACCTCTCGTAACCCATAACGGTGTTAGTGGTTGCATCGGTCTCTGCCCTAAGCTTACGTGTCACCTGTTGTGCTAGGGATGTTGTTGTTGTTGTTCCTGGAATTTTATTTCTACCTATCCTACGGACACAGGAAATGCTGGCCTCTCTTGAGCTTGACAGCCTCAATTACCCCGACATTTCCTATTTACCTGTAGGCACGTACGCCTTCGCACAGCCGCTTGTTAACCGTTAAACTGTTTCTAAGCCTTTCACGCAGGAGTGCCCTCCTCTTAGGTAACAAAATAGTCTTCGAAACCAAAGCTTCCTTTGCTCGTTGTTACCGGAATTTCTTTAGTGTTATCTTAACCATGATGCTTTTCTGGGGACTTGGCTAAGAACCGATGGCTTCTAAGTTTCGCCAGCAATCTAGGCAGCCTAGTACGATGGCGATAGGTTCTAATTATCCATTCTTTGTCACCTTCTAGTGCTTCCCTTAAATCCATCCTATGTGTAATCGATCGATGCCTACTTGCTGTTCGAGTCGTTTGTGATTTGTCGACGAGGCTATTAGCCTTGATTTGTCTAATTTAAAATGCTCCCCGCCCTTTACCTAGATTTTCTCTTGCGTAGTTAAGGCCCAGGTGTGATTGTGGCGTTTGGTGCCGTCTAAAACACACACACACGCGCAAAGCCTGCTCGCTGATCACTCAAACTATTAATGAGGAGAGTTACCGTCTCTGCGTGGCTATTTTCGTCTCCTGAAGGCTCTAAAATTGCACAATCCCCATTCATGGCAGTGGAATCTAGACATCCCACTCAAAAATATATTGTCATTAAATTCGACACTACAGCAATAGCGCATCGTAATCATCATAACGAATATCTAGTTTGAAAGCCCATTTCTTCACTACGCCTTGTATGTGGCTGCTTTGTGAAGACCAACACTCGTGTTTTTAAAATTGCAACGATCCTGAAGGCACGTGATGGGATTTTCATCCTGAGTGGACCACACATACAAGTCTTCTGTTTCAATGAGTCACACAATGTATTGTGGGTGTGTGTGTGGGTGCGTGACGGAGCATGCGTCTTTGCATTTGCTTAAGACCGCGGTCTGTGCACGGATGTGCGTTAGGCGCTTGGTTGTTGGTTGCTTTTACGTTTGTCATTTCACTAATCCTGGGCACATAAACGGCACTCTACTTGCTCACGACTATCCCGAAAATAGCACAAATCTACTCCTCGTTGCCAAAATTAGAATCCAAAATCCTAGATTTTTGTATCCCACTTATCTCGACTCTCGCCTGTAAAAAAGAGGTTTCTCTCACTCAATCATGGAACAAATTAGTCCTCATTTGCCGCCTATTTTATGCTTGAGAACAAATGCTTCAGGTTTAACCGGAAAATGAGCTTATTTTGTAGCACTTATTCTCATATATTGACCAGATTAGAACATCGATGCCCACATCGTAACGTCTTTTTTCGTATAGGACAGTTTTAGTATGGTTATCTGTCTTTATTTCCTTTAACTGACTATTCAATGCCTCTAACGGTGTTATCACAGTTATATGTTGTCGTTTTCCCTACCATGTAGCAAGTTAGCGAACGCTCCGTCTAATCTACCTCAAATGTTTCCTCTTACTGTCTTTAAAGCAACGGGATCTCCTTTCGCTTTAGTTAAATTTATTCACGCGTGTATTTAAACCGCTTGAAATTCTAATTGTCGTGGTCTTTCGTGACTTCTTAGCTATCAGGTCTTAAACTCCAACGCATTTCATTGACCTTAAACTCGTCAGTTTAAACCTTCGAAATTTCCTGAAAAGCATTATTTACTAAGTAATTGTGGGTCCACCAGAAAGCTTGGCCAATGTTGAAGAGTGCAAATAACTTGCTTACATAAGTCGACGGTCAAGTAAAGATTGTTGCAACGTGACAAATGACATCTGATTTGATTTTTACCATTGCATTTTCTATCTATTCCGATCTCGTCCGGCCGGCGGTTGATCATTTAACGGTGTAGCTTCTGTGAGTTCATGTTACTAACCCGGCCTCTACAGCCTTCAATGTGGGTTGAAATTAGCCTATGCTGTAGAGTCGTTTGGACATGATGACTTGTCCACCGTTCAGGTATACCTTGAGAGACTGCTCTACGGCGGTCGGCTGTATCTCACCGTGTCAAACTGGAAACGGATTCTGCTCTGTGCGATTCTCCTCGCCAGCAAGGTGTGGGACGACCAGGCCGTGTGGAACGTCGACTACTGCCAAATTCTCGACGAGCTCAAGGTCGACGATGTGTAAGTATTGTCTCCTTGTGTGAACTTGATACTTGTCGGAAAATAACCAACTTCTTGTTGCAAACTCATCTGTGCTTGTTCATACGGCAACCTCTGCTCATGCCTGAGCCATCGTGTTTGTGATTTGGTTGGCTGGCACAACTCCAAAAGCTACCTGGTGCTGTTTTAATCCTGCCCTTGCCGGTGTTTTGAAGCAAGACTAGAGCCGACCAGTTTGCCTTGTACTCCGAAGCCTCTTTAGTGGTCTTGGGATGCCTAGACCGATCGCGGTTTCGGTGGTCACAGATTGTGTGTCTTCTTGTAGAAATGAATTGGAACGGCGGTTCCTTGAGATCATCCAGTTCAACATCAACGTTCAAAGTTCGGTGTACACGAAGTACTACTTTGACATCCGAGACCTCACCGTTTTGTGGCACGAGTTCACTCGCCTAACCGTGGACGCTGCCAAGGACCTTGAAGTGAGTCCTCACTGCACCGCTGCCCTTCCACCCCATCACTCTTTTGTCATCTGCTAAAGTTTACTCTAGATATGTTGGCGTCATTTCCAATTCTACTTTCGCTTGGCTTTTAAGCGCATGCTGTTTCTGCAATTCCAATTTTTTAGAAGTAGATGGATCTCTTGTTTCTTGAGGTGGAAGAGCCTTTTCCAACAGGTGTTTTAACAGAAACAAGACCTCATTCTTCGTGCAATTAGTTGTTTTTTTATGATTGTGGCAAACACGTGTTCACTTAATTGTTTCATGATAGTTTAATATTTAACTTCTTTTACAGTGCCCATTGTGGTGTACACTAAATGTATTTGAGGTAATCGGTGTATACCCTCGGATTGCTGACAACAAGTTAACTGTTATAATCATTTGCAGGCCTGTTCGAGCCAATTGGCCGACACAAATCCCGGCTTGGCCAGTGCAAGTCGTTACAAGCTCCGCAGAGCAACGTCTTTGGACGCCTGCGATAGGATGAGGCGGTCTCGTCCCCTCTCCCTGTTCTGACCCTCCCTCGCTCCTCCCCCACTCCAGGTCTGCCTTTGTCTAGTCTCCCTTGGCCAAACCAGTGTACACTACTCCCGGACGCGCCACCTCAATTTCCCTTCCCCTCCACGCCCAATCCAGACGATGACGAGTCTTTCATGTACCTACTTTTATTTTGCTTGTGATCGCTTCTCATTTTCCAGTCCTTACTATGCATTTACTATTCTACTTGTGTGTTTGTCTCTCGACTCCCCATCATTATTCGCGCTGCACTTGTATAAATTGATCTTGCTTCTTTTTTTGTCTTAAAAGTAACCAATTTTTTTTCTACGTAAATAAATCTGAGGTGAATGTGAGGTACTGCGTCTTTTTTTCCCAACGTGAGCGAGATGTGGGATTGTATGCGATTCCCATCACTAATTGATGACTCAGATTGCCTAGTCATCGGTCAACCGATTTCGGGATAATCGTTTACGGCCGGTTTTCTAAAAATTAGGTTTTGTTGAAAATTTGAAATGAAAAACGACTAATTCACCAAATGCAACTACAGCTGACGTTGTCTCGTGGTTTAAAATTCTTTTTTTTGGGGAGTTGTGGACCTTTATCGACCAGAGATGTTTCACATGTCGATAAAATTTTATTGGCGGAAGGATTAAAGTCTTTAAGACCAAAATTAATTTCTTTAAATTCACCAAAAGAGCAATATAGTCACCTTATTCTAGGGTCAGCCTCATCAGAAATATTAAAAAAACTGGAAGGCTAACTTTGTTTTATGAATCCTTGAAGTTGCCACCATTCAAGGCGTGTTTTAGTTCACAGTTCAGGGAGGTAAAAATAGAAACCACTTAAGCGCTTGTTGCACCCTTTAAGTGGGTGCAAAGGCATGCATGCGGTGGTCGTAATGCGTCTTACGGAACCCTTTTCCCATCAATTCTATGTGTGTGGATAATATGATGACATTCTGACAGGTTAGCTCAAATTCCACAATTAACTTGGCACAAAGGTGGTGATTCCCGCAGCGGCTGTTTAATACACTACCAAGACTTAGTGTAACAGCGATTTTAAAATCGCATATTTTACTGATTTGGTTTCTCGAATTTTCCCAGCACTTAGTCGGTTTCTGCTCTATTTTATGTCCCCTTCCCTATTGCTGAATGTCTATAACTAATTTATATTCCATTAACAGCAGAATTTTTTAAATATTAATGTTTTTATTTTGGCAAACACATGCCTCAAGAATCCACAAATCATCCTACCTGGCTCATCGGAACTTTCAAATTTCATTAATCATTTTGAAAATCCCAAACTGCGCTTGTAACTTGTACGCTTACATAAATATAGTGATGAAGAACATGTCATTGTGCCAAAGATATTGTTACTTTAAGATGAGAACTTTCTCTGGTATTTTCTGCATTCCCCTCATAGGATGTTATCCATAAAAATCACATCAAACTTTGGTCGCTAGTAGAATTTTGAGTGTAATTTATAGTGAGCGTAAGTGAGTTCTCCCAAAGTTTTTATTTTCATCCAGTAAAATGAATTTCTACACATCCTTGTCAGGATACTTCGACGAAATCTCGTTGGAGTTTTTTTAAGGAGGATTGCACATAGCATCTTCGTAATCTGTCATTATATGTGGGCAATGCAATCAAATACATTTGGATATGCTTGAAATTCGCTGCGTGTGTGTGGGTAAGATATAGACCAACCTTTACAAAGTTGCATAAGGCTCTTTTCATGGTTACATATCAATGACCTTGCATATTGGCCGTTGGATAAAAGAAATATCATTTTCAATAAATTCTGGGATCTTCTGGAAATTTAATGTCACCAATCAGGTTATGTGTCCAATTTCAATTTAAAATGCACAAAATTTTAAAACCATAGGCTTAACATAGTATCTTCGTAATCATTCCTTTTACGATAGCTTTTGAATGGATATTTTAGTAAATATAGATAACAAAGATTTGTTTTACCACGGTTAGGTTTGCCGATTCTAGTTGAGTTTCATTATTTTACACGAAGTTCTTCTTCTCGGCGTTTAAAAAGTTCCTTTGGAAATATACCTTTACGCTTTTTTCTAGATGTTATATCATGCCTACAGGGTAAAGGAATGGTGACATTCATTCACCAGCTTCTCTGCACTCTGTTGCTAAGAGTAACGGCGAAGTCCAGGAATTTCAGACCGCTGATTATTTGCCAAATGTATATTTATATTACTCTGAATACGTTCCTGGTAATGATTATAATCAGTTCATCCTTTTAGCAGGCAGATAAATAAATTTTTCTGCAAAACAACGAGTTGTGTACTAAATAGTCATTCAAAATTAAATTCATGCGCCCCTACTATGCACTTCGCTCCGAATACGCTATTACATAATGTTAGCATCGAATGACTTATAGAAAGCCTTTTAAATAAATTAACAACTTTTGGTTTCAACTGCATATTTTCTTTGTGCCATGCATTTATGCCCATTACCAATGATGAATTTTTAAAAAAATACAAAATAGCTATAAGGCTGGAACTACAGACTTACAAAGCCTTTCTGCAAGTGTTCTACGAATGACTTGATCCAACACTTTGGTAATTGTGACTTAAATCTTTGGAGCTTTCCAAACAGGAAAATTAAGTTTTTCTTTAAGCAAAGCATACGTTATGCTGGCGAATGGATTCAAAGTGCAATTTGTTAAATTTTCAGTGTATTTTTTATGCCCTAACATTAGTTTAATTAAAGAGGCCCATCCTAAATAAAATATCACGGATGACGTATGGGCTAACTTATGCCAAGACATAAAATTCAGCTGCGCCAAAGCATACAATAGCCTTTTAAAATAATTAAATGGGTCGCTAGAGCCTTGATTGGGTTTGAATGAGAGCACATTAGAATGACAAGCGCGACCGACATAGTTTCCAATGAAATGCAAAGACGTCAGCACAAATACACTATTTTCAATGCAATTTTTGGGTTGGATATTGAACAGTCTGAAAAATAACGCCTAAAACCCAGAAAAGACAAGTCGTTGATGCATGAAGTTGTCACTGATATTAACTATTTACGTGGTGGCTAGTGGTCAAATAAATGTCAAGACCTTAAGTCATTGAAATGGTCTATTATTTTGGACTGACTTTTTTGAGTATGTTTATGCCTCAAATTGCTGTAGGATTGAGTAGAGAAAAAGACAAGCCTAAAAACTCTACATTGTCATCTGAGACTCTTTCCCTAAGTAGGTGATTACATTTACATATCTTCTACCTGTGATCTGTATTCTAGAAACAGACAACCAAAATTTTTATCATGGCACTAGAAGTGAACTCGGTGGACGACTAACAAATGACCTAATAAAATTGTCACATTCCCTGATGAGTTTCCTGATGCATTTAACATTCCAAAACTTTTTTGTAATTGCAAGTTGATTTAGCAGCAGTACATAACAAATAGGTACAACAAACTCGGCTTTACTGACATTCTACAGGCCAGATGTTTTAATCTTTCACAATATGCTTTCTGCGGCGCCTAATTTTAAACCTTTTATTATTAATCCTGGTCTCTGGTTGGCTACTGATCTGCCACATTGACCCTTCAAAGTACAGCGACAGATGATTGGCTGAGCAAGGAGTGACTGTCTGTGTATGCAGCCTATATTTTAGCCACAACAATCTGACATCGAGATGGATGGTGATGTGGTTTTTGATGACAATGACAAGCTCACGATTATGCCGCTGTATGTTTTGCACACAGAAATGGCTAAACTTAAATTCTAGGGGTGCTGGGCAGGAAGTTGGTCGCTCATGCATTTTATTGACGTTCAAGGGGAAGAAAATTATAGTAATTTAACTTTGCACATGTTGATTTATTAGCTTGACTGCGGTATCCATCCTGGCTTGCACAATAAGGAGAGTCTGCCTTTTATTGATGCTATTCCAGAGATCGAAACGACTGACCTTATCCTTGTTAGCCAGTAAGAAATGTCTTTATCAAGATTGCTTGTAGTTATCACCTGGACCACTGTGGTGCGCTTCCCTTCCTTCTGCTGAAAACGGATTGTCGTGCAAAGTGCTACATGACACACGCAACAAAGGCTATTTATCGTTATTTGCTAGCAGATTTTGTTAGAGTCAGGTAAGGTTAGCTAAATTAATGTTCTCGTAGCAACTCTGGTGTCGCTGGACAGGTCTTGTATACGGAACGTGACATCGTCCAGAGCCTTGAAAAGATCGATACTATTGATTTTCACCAAGAACTGGAAGTAAATGGAATCAAGTTTTCTGCGTATCACGCAGGTCACGTTCTGGGAGCTGCAATGTTTCTAATTGAAATCGCTGGTGTTAAGGTGAGATAATTTGAAGAGTTAACCATTTTAGGTTCTCTATACTGGTGACTTTAGTCGCCAAGAGGATCGTCATTTGATGTGCGCTGAGATTCCTCCTCACCGCCCAGACGTTCTCATCACTGAGTCCACATATGGTATCCATATTCACGATAAGAGAGAGGAGCGGGAAAAACGATTTACGAGTCTTGTTCACGACATTGTTTCTCGTGGAGGTCGCTGCCTCATACCTGCGTTTGCGCTCGGTCGTGCCCAGGAGTTGATGCTTATTCTGGACGAATACTGGGCAGCCCACCCTGAGTTGCATGATGTGCCCATCTACTACGCTAGTCAGCTCGCTCGAAAGTGTATGGCCGTTTACCAAACATACATTAATGCCATGAATGATCGGATTCGTAATCAATTGGCCAACAATAATCCCTTTTGTTTCCGGTTTATTTCGAACTTGAAGGTAGCGTTTTCCTATTTATATGACGCATAATCGTACATTGTAATTGTTTGTACTCTATGGTGTCTCGCTTCCATCTGAAGAGCCACTTTATGGTCTCTATAGTCGTCGTTCAAATACGTACATTTACTCTTATGGAGTTGCTTGACAGTGACAAAATTTCTATGCTTGCATGTGGCAAGGGTATAAGACGCTTCAAATGACGGTGCTTCCGATTCCGCTAAAATGCCGTTGAATTCTTTGAATTTTAGAGCATCGAACATTTCGATGATTCTGGTCCCTGCGTCGTGATGGCGAGCCCCGGGATGATGCAGTCGGGGCTAAGTCGAGAACTTTTCGAAAACTGGTGCACGGACAAAAGAAATGGAGTCATTATTGCCGGGTACTGTGTCGAAGGAACACCCGCGAAGCTAATTCTGTCGCAGCCGGCGGAAGTGCCAACCATGTCTGGCCAAATGTTGCCGCTCAAATGTTCGGTGGAGTATATTAGTTTTTCTGCTCATACCGATTACCAGCAAACGAGTGAATTTATTCGGGAGTTAAAGCCACATCATGTGGTAAGTCAATGGTCATGTTATGTGGGAATAAGTATTTTGTTCGAGAAGATTTCAGGTGACGTGGAACAGTTGATGTGCCTTTGAATGCCAGTTATCATGCCTAGGTCAGGAATCATACCGACAGTTTGCTCTATAAACAAATCGTTTGCCACACGTTCTCGAACTAGTGTTTTCGGAGTAAAAAAATTCAGACAAGACTGTGTAATTAAAAGTATTTGTCATTTGTATATGACTCACATTTGAAAGAATGTTGGTACGACCAAGAAGTTACCATATATGAGGGAAGGTTAGAGCCGAGGTAATTTGATTTGCACGCCTGAATTTGTTCTAACCTACGTGGTAGCATTTGTAAGTTCAGCATTAGCCTATAGACACTTTAGGTATGAGTTTCTTATCGTTGTGCTTAACAGATGCGAATTCACACATTTACCCATAATTGACGAAATCTAATTTCAAATACAGGTTCTGGTACATGGTGAACAGAATGAAATGATGCGTTTGGCGGGAGCACTTCAGCGCGAATACGAGGACGATGAGACATGTCGATTGGAGATTTTCACGCCGAAGAACTGTGAGGCAGTGAATCTTCGTTTCAAGGGTGAGAAAGTCGCCAAGGTGCTGGGTAGCCTGGCGAAGGCAAGGGGGGCATTCCTGGCTAAGGGAGGGAAAAGTGAAAAACCAGAACACCAAAGGCTCTCCGGAGTGCTAGTTAAGAAGAACTTCGCCTATCACATCATGGCACCTAACGAACTTCCTGGTACGTGTAAATCTACGAAGACAGCACTTACAACGAATAGTTGGTAATGAAATTGTATCTATTTAGCATACACTGAGCTTGCCACCACCATTGTGACTCAGGTGGTTGCTACCCCATTTTCCGGACCCGCAAGTTTACTTAAATTTCATCTGGCTTTGGTTGCGGGGAAAGTGTCTGTTTTGGAGGAGTCCGACGAGTCTGCGATCTTCCTCGTTTTCGGCGCGATTTCTGTAATCTGGCAGCCCCAAATTGTCCGTATTAAAGTGAGTTCTTTTGTCCCAATACAAGCATTCCTATATTTGCTTTTCTTTGAGAACGCCTTTTTCGCATTTAGTGGGAGGCAAATCCTATGAATGACATGTATGCGGACGCTGTTCAGAATGTGGTTTTGCGGGCCTCGATGGCTTCTTCAAGTTGGCGCTGTAAGTGTATGCCAACTTGTGCGTATTCTCCAATCGCCATGTGCTCCAATCAAGGCTGTCCACCAATTATATTGGGTTAAATGTCTGGTGAAGTGATTTTTGGGACGGGTTCCACACACCTCGTCTTCTTCATAATTGTCGTTTGTGCAAGATCCACTTGAAAATAACGACGAGACTTTAGGTACACTTTAGTCGTCACTTTACGTTTGAGCTACTGGTTTAGGTTACTGTGTACTTTTCTTTCACTAAGATCGATAGGACCGTACCTGAAGTTATGGCGCTTTGTCAATAATGCAGTCACCACGCAAACGTTTATTCCTGATCTGTGTGCCTAAGGAGGGGCAGGAGTTTAAGTCTGATTACTAAAGGCCCTTATCCTGAAATTCGAGTAGCCTTGTTGTGTAATGTGCGTAACATTTGACTAGCACTGTAGTTTTTCAACTAGTTAGGATTCATTTGCCGTTAAAGAGACTTGTTAGGCTTTGTATTCTTTATCCTCGTCAATGTTGACTTGCGCCAACTGCTTTAAAATAACTTAATTTCAATCACGACAACAGGTTGTACTTGTCGTCGTTTTGAGAAATTATAAATCAGTGGGAATATCGTATCTGCACCACAAAGTTTTTCTTCCTTGGACACCAAGCGACGTGAACTCGTTCGTTGAATGCTTTAGCCACCCTACCCGATCTACGGGAGCCCGACTTCAATCAGTTCCACGCCGCTCTAAGGGTGATGCTCAAAGACGCCTTTGGACCTGACTGCTTGGATGCCAAGAGTGAAGTCATAGATCCCAAGTCGGATTTGCTGCCGTTGAAGGTTGACGAGACTGTCGTTGAAATCAACGTCAGAGATTTGGTGAGAAATTTGTGTTACGTCGGTCGCTCATGTTATTACCTTATACATAGCTTAAGTACTGATTTTTTTAATAATTGGATTTTATTCAGTTACCGCATTTTATTCCAAAAGCGTAGTAGCATGTTGATTTATTTTGTCAGTAATTCGGTACATGGCAAGTGTAGTATGAGTGATGTGGTTGGTACGATGAATCAAACAACTGCCATTATCTTTCCTTCGAGTATTGAATGGTCGTTATTCAGTTGTGACACGTAACATCATTCGTCGCAGTTTAGACTTCAGCTTCTGAGTTTAGTAGTCAACTGTGGTCCACGACGCATTTGAAGTTGGTTCACCGTTTAGTAATTTTGGTAGCGTTTCGAACACCGTCAAAAGTAACCTATATTTCGAAAGATCTTTTAAGAATCGGTTTCAGGCGAGAGCCCTGTTGATTTAGTTAGTTCCTACAGTGGCTGTCGCTTAAAAAGAGGCAGAAATTGCCGTTGGTGTGATTTGAGGATGGGTGTGAGTAAGGACGAGTTTGGTTCCTCACCGCACAAGGCAAAATGGCCTCATGAAAACAAAAGGTAAACTGTTCTGAAAACTGAGCACTGATTGGAGCAACACAGGGCTATGATCCTAGGAAGTCAAATATGTCTCACGTTTGATCTCCCAGAATTAACCCACCATGACGACCAAGAGCCGTGAAACGGCTCCAAATTGCCCATACTCTTGTGCCTCGATGGTTTTTTTTCTAAGTAAAATGCTATCACTACTCAACACAACGGTTCGAACATTTGTATAAGTACTTGTAACTGTTTACAAGCCCTTTGTCATTATTCGAGTCGTTTTTCATAAAGAGAGATTATCGTTCCACTAAACTGACAAAATTCAATGAATTCGACTGCAAAGGAGTTTGTCACCTCTGAGTTGAGCCCCATCGAGCTAGTAAAAGCTCGACTCGTCCCTCGCCAATAAACCTGGACTAGTTTTTCTGGCATATCGTGGCATGCGTTTGTGCAGTAGAATGTATTTTTTTTAGCCTTTTAAACAGTGGTGCGATCTCACGATTAATTATTGCACATCCGTCTTTTAGACTGCGAAGTGTTCTTCAAATCCGATGTTGGAGCAAATCGTACAGTCCATGGTTAGACGTTTGAGCCATTCTCTTTCGCCTGCGTAGTAATCCATCTGTCACAGCCTTTTTGAGATTTTTATGTAACAATTTTCTAAAAAAATATTATTTTGTTATTTAGCATCCTTGATTTTTGTGTCTTCCTAACTTTCTGACACCGTCCACATTACTAGGCGTGGATCGTGTGTGTGCTACATGCCATGTAGCTCCGAATTTGTCTGGTGTTGTCATGTGGGATCTATCATCACGAAGATCCACTTCGCCAGAACAAGTCCACCTGGGGCAAACCCCCCCCTCCCCAGCTAGTGGCAGGCAGTAGAAGACCTTTGGTCCCGATCACAGTGTCCTGCTGAAAACGGAATTTTTTAGCCCCCAAACGGTCTAGCATTCATGCTTTCGGAGGTGCGAGTGACCATCAGGAGTTTGCTTCGAGTTCATTTAAGCGGATAACAGGAAAATATCTGCCTAGTAGGGGTTCAACTTATCGTTACTTGACGGGTACTGTGTTTTGAGAAGCAAACTGGACGCAACAGTGAGTCTATGTGATGGATTCTGTTAGATTAGCTAGCATGGGCGTTTGATCAACCTGTGCGTAAATCACATCCTGAAGTAAGTTAGAGCAGGTCAACGTTGGTGCATATTTCGACTCCAATGAAATTGGTTGGAGATGGTGAGCTCGTTGTTTTTTTTTCACTTACGGAACCAAGATAAAACAAATGAAGTGAAGGCTTTCCTTCTTTGTCTATTCACCTAGTTGTAGATGTACGGACGATGAACCAAACTCGTGTTCAATAGAGCAGATTGAATTCCCAAGTGACAGGTTTCTTGATCCAATCTGCACTAATTTATGCTTGACTGATTTTAAGCCCTCAATTTTCCAGAAGGCAGGTAAATTTTGTCGAATTCAATGCCACCACAGCATGCACGCAAAAACAGATAATTTCACCAGATTATCACGCGAGTACAGGAATACTAAATGATTTGCTTGTTGCAGAACGCGTTTTTTTTTCATGGTAGCGCAAAAAAGAGGTTGTAATCTGTTTTACACTTAATTTTGTTTTCGCCCAAATCACCCTTTTCTGTGGTGCCAACGTGAAACAAATGCGATTTAATGGGAATAAAACCCCTACAACTACACAAAGTCGGACTGTTGTGTAGACTACTCTTGTTAAACTCCGCCGTCGATGTGGTTTTCAATGATATTGCAGGAGCCTTGCCACTAGGATAATTTGCTTTCTGGAGTAGTGTGTAGCGGATTAACAGCTAACAGGTAGCCAACCACCCACTAAGATTGGATGAATTGTCATGTAGGCAGCCTCAACAACGACAGCGCACCACTTCCCGTTTCCGCCAGCCAAGTCAACCCAGGAAGAGATCCGACCTACCCCTGAGACCCGTTGTCCGCTTTGCTGACTCCGCTCGACTGTTTTCGAGCGTTTACTGTTTCACAGTTAACCCTCTCGGGGGGAATATTTGTAGCAGATTAACAGCGATTGCGGCTGAGTGAACCCTGTTTACCGACCTGACGGTTGCTGTATCAGATGCCTGTCATCCTTTCACTCATCCACACACTAAGACACACTTGGCTGGCGTGACGCTAATAAACGGTCATGTCCTCTCTCGCCTCTCGTCACTCCATTCTCGGGTTGTTAACTGGAGGGTTGTAAGGTAGTGCTAAACTCAAACCACTACAAGTGCAAGTGTGTTCGCTTTGGAATTAAACTTCAAAAACTACTACGTAGACTGGAGTTTACAGTCACGTGTTCCATGCTGGCGCAGGAATCCCAGGCGGTTTGTCGTAGTAAAGTGTGGTCCTTTTACTCATGCAGGGTGCAATGATCTGCCGCAACACTTTTAAACGAACCTCCTCGCACGACCTATTCTGGAATCAAACAAATTTACTTTATCGTTCCGTGATTTTCTCTCTACTTTGGGCTAATTGCTGCAATATCGCGGTGTCAATTATGCCACCCGCAGATCGGAACTGTAATCATCTTTCCCTGCGAGGGTGTGAGAAATCGAACACATCCGGTTGGTAATTTCTTGAATAATTAGCCGTATTCCCTCTCAATCATTGTTATAGCGTTTGCCAAGTTCAGAAGCCCTATTTATCAAAACAGAGACCGCCTTTACAGCGTATCCATGGCGTGCCTTTCCTCCATTTTAGATGTGATAATTTTATGTAGGCAATCTTCCAAAGGATCCTTGTTTACATGCAAATACTGTTAGTCTGCGGTTACAGGCATTAGAACAGGATTCGTTTCAGGCGACAGTTTACCAAGTTACGTATTACCTTTCGCTTCTCCCTTAAAACAACTGATATGCCATGCTTCCGCCCAACTTAACATATTTCAAGAGTGACTTACCAAAGTCTCTAAAAGCACTTTTAGTGTAAAAATCGTTAGTTGTATTCAAAGTACTTGAAGCGGTTATAGATGTGCTTGTGTTGCTTTATGGAATCGCTGGGTAGGGATATTAATGGCGAAATTACCACAGAAGTGCAACCAGGTAGGCAGGTACGAGCAAACTTGCCAACAGACCACTTTCAGCATACTGAGGGTCGCCTCCCAAACGGTAAAATCATGTGACAATTTGCGCACAATGAAATCTTAGCTTTATCCGGATCAATGTATTGTCTTTCTGTGCGCCCAAAATGAGAAATTAGAAAGGATGAACGCGTTTTCGGCCATTGGCTGACTGCAAAAGTCCCTCGTACGAAGTCCCGTCCCGTCCCACACTCGGATGGCGCTGATTCATGCGTGCTTTGTCTGATTGTCCGATAAATCGCGCTTGGGGCCTCGCATCAGTGCCCACGCGAACCGCAACACTCTGGCCTTAATAGAATGTTTTTTTGCAGGGTGCTAAATTACGACTTCCGGAAATATCATTACATGTAGGTGCAGCACGTCTTCACATTCCAGGCGCCAACTGGGGGATTGCAGAATTTGCATCGAAAAATCCGTTCAGGTATGCATGCACTTCGGCAATGGATGTGAGCGAAGTGGGGCAACGATTGACTGGTGGTGGTTCTGAATCTTAGAGCATGCAACTTCTAGTACATGTGTCGGCTGTAAAAAGGATTTAATGTTAAAGCAAAGGCACCAATTTGCTTTTTAAGGGGGTATGTGCTAATCCACCTTGATTCATCATCGACATTAGACTGAAACGTTAAAAGCTCTCTGCACAGGGTCTTTATCCTGTACTGTCACAAACCAGTCTTAATGATAACTTACACATTTTGAAGACACGAACCAACCTCGTTGGTGTGTGACTTTTCGCCAAAATTGTCAACTGCTCTTATGAGGTAGCCAAGCCCAAAATTTGCATCTTAAAACCAAAGTGCGTGAAGTGAAGCGTAAATTCACGGCATGAATTTCGGTCAAGGCTGTAAATGCATCGGAAATAGCCGTCGTCGCATTCTGAGGATACTGGTCAGGCCTCTAGTTGTCCGAGTAACAGATACTGCCGCTTATTGTTTTGTACTTCTATCCGAACAATTCGGCTGGTCTGGAGTTTCCCCCGGCTGCAAAATAAATGCCATGGCTCCAGTAACCTTCCATTATTTTAATCTACGTGCAGAATTTAAAGGCATCGCGCCGACAAGACCTAAACCCTTTTCCTAAGGAGACGTAATAATTTTTACTTGGTGTAAGGATTTGCGTGAGAATTCCACTCTAACAGATGCACATATCTGCTGCACAGCAATTTAAATAGAAAAACAGTCTCAATTTGCTTTTAACGCTCTTGGCCAGCCTTAGCTCCCATCCTTTCAAAACCGCACAAACTAAACCTGTCCACATTTGGCCATTGCCCACCACCAAGTACTTTATTTTTATGTGTTTCTAGTCGGCTAGGTGACTTAAGTGGGACTCAGTACCGTCACCGTCTTCATCTCAAAACGGTACTAAAATATTACTTCGCCTGTTGGCTAGACAGACCCGCATTAATCCAGTCTAACGTTGTTTTGGTAGCTAACAGGTTGGATGAATAGTGATATTTGCCTACAAGGTCTATGCTTACTGTAAAGCAAGCCATTTGTGGAGGATTTTGACACTTTAATATAATTACATGCCTGTACGATGCTTGGTGTCTGCGTAATCACAGTTTTACAATTACCAGGTAAGTGTTATGAGTACTTTTGCTTCCAGAAATTATTACCAAATGTAAGGGTGTTTTTAAAAACCAAAGTCTCGCTTCCTTGCAATTTTCTGAATCCCAAGAATGTTGCCAGGACACATCTGGGTTTGGTGGGAATGGCCAACGTGTAATGTGCATTTACAAAATACCTGTGACTCTCCCACCGCATACCACGAAAGGCTTCGACTTTTGAAATAACCCTTGGCGCTTTATTGCTAAATAACTATATGGCGTCCGTTTTAAGGATATTTATGGTGAAACTCATTGGTCGCTAATCCACCTTATAGTCAATTTCTTTTTAAATTTAAAACACTATTTTTAAATATTTAATTAAGCATGGCTTAGACGAAAAAACCGTAAACAAGAAGGTCCAAGTTCTCTTTAGTAAAACGAGAAATCACTTTAAGAGAAGGAAAAAATATGCCTGGGAAGCCTAAGCAAGGCACTTTTCGATGTTATAACGCGTCTTCTTTTAATCGAAAAAGTACTTTAGAATTAAGGGAGCACTTTCCATATCCCACTGACTACTTTAATTTACCAAGAATACCAAAATTTAAAAAAAAAACATAGAAAAGCGATATCTGTCTGACAACGTACGTGGTTCGTCACGTAAAATGTTACACACTTTAACAACCTCAATTTTGTGACCTAATACAGAGCATGTGAAAGTTAATTCGTAAAACTCTGGGAAACTCAAGTTAGGGTTTTTTTTTCAATAGCGCAGTTTAAACACGGTCGTCAAGATGTCGCTTACCTGCAACCAACTGAGCCAAGAGTTTTCATTTTAATTTCAGATTTTTTGGCTGCCTGTGTTTGTTTCCTGCGTTTCAAAAACGACGTAATATTCCTCCAAATGCCCGCTGGCTTGCGAACACGCCAAGTGAATTAAAACTTGTAATGTGAGCATTAGTAAATAAAGTCTTCTTCAGTGCCATGCGTAAACTCAACATGGCAACGAGCGAAATGACCGTATCCTGCGCTTAAACTACAAACCACTTGATGAAACACCTTGACCATCGCAGAAAGTGAAAGTTTGGGACAAGTTTTCCGCTCACGTAATTTTTTTATTTCACGATGAAATCAAAGTGAAGTCTAGTGAAATAGCTGCGTAAAAAATTCGACAATACATGCCAAGCTAAGGAGTTGTCAATATATGCTTCTCAGTTATTTTTAGAATAAGCATCGTATTGTCCATTTTTGACTTATTATAAACACCAAACCTACTTCTCTACTATCTGAAATAAAAGTTTGTGATTTTGAGCATAGTGATATTAAAATCTCTTACGCTAAAGTAAATTGTTAGCCTCGATAAATCCTAATGCATTTTGAGGCTAAAGATGTCACATACATCATTGGAAAATAAAATCGATTTTCAATGGTACTTTGTAGCCAATCAAAATTTAAACCTATAGACTGCAGTCACACTCACCATTAACTGAAAATTTGTGCTTATTAATTTCTGATGCACCTGCGTTTTGATTCAAGGCCCACCAGTCATTGTGGGGTGAGTAGGCGCCTTACTGTTTTTCTTGTGAACCACGAAAACGACCTGTGGGGGAACTCAAATAAACTATTCACGAAACCGTCAACACTACTAAGCCCCTGTTGACAAACCAATGCGAGTTGGTAGAGCGTCAGCTGGTCGACATATAAAGTGAATTACCAAAATTGGAAGTCAGTAGCATTTGGTTCTCAGTCAGTACAAAGTCGGACATACGATGGTCCTCTGCAATAAGAAACTTGTCTGGGGGAAAAATATGAAAATCACGTGAAAGTAGCCTTAGGACCTTCTAGTTAAAAGCCTGTTTAATTCAAAATTGAGCCAAATATTTTTCATCCCTTATTTTTAACTTTACATTTTGTCGGGATGCCGGAATTTCTGGGTTTTATTCATCTTAAGCTAAAGACCTGGGGATTTCCCATTTAACACTTCGTTGCTCTACTCTTTTTCAAACCCAATCGCTGCTTAACAAATTGGAATGAACACAATTAAGCCTGCCTTCGGATTCCACTTGATCTCTGACACCAAGCGTTGAGAAGAAGTGCAAATAGGTATGGAGAAAATGCGGTCCCCTTTTGACTGCTCGCTATTTTAATGTCCGGACAGAAGGAGGTCAACGGACAACTAGAGACGCTCCCAAATTTCATATCTATTCCTCGACAAGACTTTGTGGCAATGAGTCATTATGTCAAACGTGAAGGGTGGTTTCAGTGCTGTTCGGTCCTGATCATTACACATTTGGGACTCAAACCTACACACCACTATCCAGCCACAGGTTCACAAGCCACAATTCTTCTCACTCGCGGATGACTTTCTGACTGCAAATCTGTGACAGATTAGATAAACCAGAACCGACGTTCAAATTGATCTCCCGCGATAACCGTAAAAGTTGGAAGCCCGAGGCCAATGACGTGCACAGCAGCAGTGCCATGTGTGCGCGTGTGTGTGTGTATGTCTGCGTCTATTAGCCACCACGACCATCGGCCACTGCTGTTGGGTTTCAGCCGCGCATTGTCTTCAAGGTCGCTCTTCTATTCGTCGGCTGAGCGCTGGCCTGTTTTTCACCACGCCGCAGCAGCTCTGGGCAGAGCGAACTAGCTTCGGTAATCGTCTCTGCTACAGATCATGGCGCTGACCTGTGGTGAACAATTTCTTCGTATTCTACTCGTGGTGTGCAACTTGTTTGTTTTCGTAAGTGACTGTTTTCCTCTCAACGGTCCCCCTTCAAGCTCTTTGGGTGTGTTTGCACTGGATTTGCGGCATACACTTTGGCCAAGGTTAAGGAATATACCAATAATGAAGAAGCAGTACTAGTACCGGCATTCATCCTAGCTCTGGTGCTGTTGATAATGCTCATTGGCTTTCTCGGCTGTTGTGGGGCCTGGAAGCTCAACGCTTGTTGTCTCAAAACGGTAGATCCAAATTCTGATCCCTTACACCTTCTATAGTATGCGGTCATTATCACCATCCTAATTATAATAGAGGTGATTTGTGGAACGCTGATTCTCGTTTACCACCACAAGGTGAGTGTTGTTTATTATTTCAAGCAGTGTCCTTAGGGCAGGGAATATATCGCTGCTT